GAAATTCACGAATGAGTAAGATTGTTGTGTAGGAGTTCAGCAATTTATTATACAGTACCCACCCTAGTTGTTAAAAAAAAGAAAAAAAAACACGGATTGGCGTCTTTTTCTTTTCTTTATAACTAGACTATGTAGTTTTCGCTTTTTTTTCACACATAATGTTACATAGTTCAGCTCAGCTCAACAAGCTCTATTAAATGATGTATAGAAGAACTGAAAAAATTTAAATTTGAAGTCCTCGGTCCATCAAAGTTCCTGGGGGCACGTCATGTATTCCTTCCTATTAAAAGTATTCAGGGAGTTGTGGAGCAGCCATAATATTCCAAAATCAACCAAAAGTAGACCTTTGCATTCCTCATGTTTTACTGATCATTTTGATACCTATTTTTTCTAAAATGGTCAAATTTGCTCACGCAGCAATTTCAAACGGGAGCGGGTTTTCAAAGTGAAAAGTAGCAAATCTGAATTAATCCCTAGTGTCAGTGAATGATGTGCCTATACTTCACAAATAGCTCTTTTCTGCTGTTTGCAAATTGTATGCCTGAATTCAAGAAGAAGAGCGATATCATCGTCCAAATCCCGGTTTGTGGCATATCTTGACGGAGATCGTACCTTTTTTTGATTTTTCAAGCAAGATTTTCGAGGATCAGTAGATAGCTACGCCTTCCATCGAAAATAATTATACTGATCTGTTTGTGAACAGGTCAGTATAATTACTAATGATAGGCGATGAGAAGGTCTAAGAAGGAGACACACTTACTGAGCTCGATTTTATCAGTATGATGTCTTGTTGTTTTGTCTAGAACTTCAGAATGACTGTGACTATATATCATGCTATGTAGAGCCATGATAGGAAATATTTGATCAGTTGGGATTTGAGAGACAAACATTGCTTATAATAGCACGTCTGGGCAAATTCTGGACGTTTGCTATGAAGAGCTTAGACTATCGATCTCTCCTGACTTTACCACACATCTGCAGCGGAGTATCTTGCTTTGTAGTGAAATGTAGTGCTTACAGAATGGATACTATTCGATGATCCCATTTGTATCTCAGTTGATATCAAAAAATATTCTTGGAGTCATAGCCGACTACCTCAAACGAAGAAACATTATTGGTCATACCAAGTGTGCGAAGATCTTCCAAAGCTTCGGTACGCATATCTTTTTTAAGTAGGCTAAGCAAATTTCACAGCACTTTAAGTGGTTCCTTTAAATTGTGCTCTGCTTGAAGGGTCATTGTGTGTAGGTGTCTTGTGTTCAGGGTCATTTGGCTCAGCCATAATGCTTATTGCATTAGCCTCTTTGCCTGACTGTGAACACCCTTATGTTGCGCTACCATTACTTGCCTTATATGGTAGGTACTGATGTTTTTGTATTCCATCAAATTTTAAAGTATTACGTAGTAAAATTTCATATTTCAGGCATGTTCTTCTCAGGAGGTATCTGTGGGTTTTTCACGTGTATCCTTTGCATAGCCCCACCATTCTCGGGAACCACAACTTCAATCGCCATGGTGTTTGGTATGCTTGGAAATATCAGTGGCCCTTTGTTGTTGGGCGTTGTTTCTAAAATAGTAAGTCCTTCTGTCCTTCACTCCAATCCCTTTATTTATTTATTGTTTCAGTTTGAAATACAAAAATGATCGGAAGTGTGATTTCCAATGCGGAAGGTGTTGTAACAGGAGTGGGAATACATACTGCATGAGCTAAGGTTGACTGGAAGAAAGACGATGAACCTGAACCCTTCTACCGTTTTCACCAGCTGGTGAAAACTGTAGAAAGCCAGCTGCCACTGGTAACAGCAAGATATATCTAATGAAAACAAAGCCGAAGCGTGATGTTGCGACTCTGAACCGTGGATATACCACTGTGCCATTTAGAATCGACAGCAAGAGCACGATTACTTACGAGAGCGAGACGGGCAGTTGAATCGGTCAGGGCCGACTATCTCATTTCACGTCAGCCTTTTTCACTGGCTTACAATAACTAGTTTTAGACAAAATGACAGCAAATGTCAAGTATGACCCTTGGTATTATCACTCTCGAATGATGGGTAAGATGCACGAGTTTCCCTTGAAGCGTAATCTGAATAAATAATAGGTTAATGCATTATTACTGCGGATTATTTTCATAGGAAGAATCTTCTCGCTTTCCTCAACAGAAATGTGTCTAGAAAGTCATCCTCATGTTTGCCACAATATGCTGTATTACTGTGAGATAGGTTGGAAGGTGGCACAGTCATAAAGCTATTTTAACGAACTTATCGGCAATGGAACAGTCAGCCAAAGCCGAATAAACAACTGAATCTGCTTCTATCGCCACATTCACCAACAGAAACTCCTATCTAGGTTATCACGTCAGCAGTCGTCCTCTGGCAAAATTGGCTAACGAACAGAACCTTCGACGAAATGGATGGCTTGATGGCCGGCGTCAAGGCGTGGGTCGCCTCCACGAATCGAAACCTTCGATTCGTGAAGACGATCCAGGTCATTAGTGAAATTTCATGAATTTCATCAAAAACAAACGACTGCACAAGAATCGCGGACTACCGAAGGACTCTCGACACGTACGAACAATCGAGCAACAGCTTCTCAAGATAGCAAATCGATCAGACCGTGATGTTATGTATTCATGTTTATGTTGCGAACGGATCGTGCCGGAGCGCTCTTGGACGAAGTTAGTGGGAGAGCTGAAAAACGTTTTTGATTTGATCCGATCTAAGGCAAAGGCAAGGCTAAAAAACGAGCTTGATAGATTAGTAGATCAACAATGGGCTCATGATATACAAGCAGTGTCTGCCCTTCATCATAGCAACGAGGACCACCTAACTTCTAGTACAGTAGAGCACCTATTCAACTCTCGGGTCACGGTTTTAGGCAACATCAATCTTTCCAAAGAAGCGTTGCCATTGTTGCAATTAGTAGCTTCGCACCAGCTAAATCCACCGCCCCTCGACCGTGTGCGAGGTCATGGGTAACCTACAGATCCTTCATGATCGCTTCAAATGCGGGGCCAACAGCATACTGCGGGAAGGAGGCGCGGGAGATCAGGCAGAAAGGGTCTTCCCTGTTCTACCCTTCCCCTGCACATTTACAGCTGTTGTAGAAAGCTGTTTCTACAACCGTGTGCTGTTGTAGAAAGAAATTCCGCCTTCTCGCTACATCTGTTTACAGGGTGGTACAGCAGTATGTCAAACGCCCTGTGTTCAACCTAAACCCCTCACCGAAGCAGGGCTTCAAAGAATTACGTAATCGATCAGAAGCGTGGGTTATCCGATTGTTTGTCAGCGATAATGTAGGAAAATTAGCTTGGTAAAGCGACACCAGAGTTACATCTTCAAGACAAAACACTGTACTGCAGATCTACTGAAAAAGAATACACTAGACAGCATAGAAAACTAAACAAAGTCTGGTGTTGCGTAGCGAAGGTCGCTGGACTGATAATCACCTGAAGAGTGATCTGTCGCTGTCTTGTTATGTACACCGTTATCAAAGCGCATAAGATCACCTTTGCAGACCTGAGCTCGAATGACCCTTCAGTGTTCAAAGTTAGACCCATTATCAGTAATGCCACGGGAGCCACAGATGAATTTTCATGGTTTCTCAATGTAATAGCACAACGAATCCTCCAGTACGTACTCGCCCACCTTACCAACACGAATATGCTACTCGGAAAACTGTTAAATGCGTTCTTCGGGGAACCGTTGTAGTGAAATCACTCGATATTACGTCTTTGTACACGAATGTGTAAAATGAGGCCGCCCTCGACTCCACATACGAATGCCTGGGGGATCACGAATGCACTCTCAGATTGTACGGTTTCTCAGTCTCACAGATGTTGTCTGTCTTGAAAGAATGCTTAAATTGCTCGTTTTGCAGGTGATCGGGCGTTTACTATAGAATTATTAGGGGTTTGGCTGTGGGCCAACGGCTAGCAGCAGTATTGGTATTAGCCTATATGTCAAAAGTTTAGGAACCTATTCTAGACCGCAGGCCAGCTCTCTACACTCGCTATATTGACGACTGCCTGATCATATGCTCCACCCAAGATGGACATGTGTTTTGACACTCTCAATAACAGGTAGATCAGTTCAAATTCACACGAGAAAGACAGACAGAGAATTGGTTACCATTCCTCAATATCCAAGTCCAACTATTGATGGGACCAGTGCGGACCATGTGGTACCGCAAGCCTTGCTGCAAGAACATCCTTATTCACTACCACTGGCTCACCCCATAAGAACAAAACAGTCTGTCATCAAAAATATGTTCAGAGTTGCCAGCAAGGTTTCTTCTGTCACTGATCTTATGACAGAATCATTGGACATGGCTCGAAAAGTCGTGCGGCCTAATGGGTATCGTGGCTGCCATCAGGACAACGTGGGAGACATTCCACACCTCGCAAACTTTGCCCACAAGCATCTGTCAAAAAGGTACTCCTTTATTCGCCATTCATCTCCGAAGAGATGAGCAGACAATTCGAGCCTGTGTGACCAGGTGTGATCTACAAAAAAGAGTCAGGGTTGTGGGAATGACTCCAGGAAACCTTAACCGTTAATTGATCCGAAATCTTTTTTACGGTAGTCTGTGTGACACCCCAGATTGCAGCGTCCTTTTAATCAAAAGGGTGGCTGCATGAAAGTTGGGGACATTCACCAAATTCGATGCCAGGCCTGCGATGATGAGTATATAGGTGAAACAGGGCGTCCCCTTAGTACACGGATCAGGAAACATCTGGAGGGCCTAAGAAAATCTCGCATACAAACACCTTCAGGAATGCATCGGATTGAGTGCCATGATGGTAGCGAGTTCGAAATTTCAGTAGCCATTCTGGCAATAGAAGCGGACATCTCTGCGCGAAAACACTTGAGGTGTTTTGCATAGCCGCTATGAATCCACAAACTAATAGAAAGGAAGAGTGTGTGGCCATAACCCACGACTTCGTGCCCCTTGTGACCTCTGCAAATTTTAACCCATTGACGGCCACGACGTTTTGCGCGAATAGCGCCGCGAGGGACCAGCGCGCTATTCGTCCACCCGCGACTTCAGCCCACATGTTTACTTCATGGTCCAGAATGACCATTTTTAGTGTTTATAAGAGAAATTATAAGTTTTTTCGGAATGTCCCTTCAAATGGGATTGGTAAGTATGCTCACATTGAGTGATTATAGATCTTTATTATAGAAACGGCGTTCGTTCTAGTGGTCATTCAATTATGAGTTCAATCATTACCAGAAATCGTTTCGGGAACTTTTAGTTGCATTGTGTTGGGAGCTTTGCGTCTGGTCGATATCAGCGAATAGGCTAATGACGACCGTCTTTTAGAAATATCTCATTTTTTGAAGTTTTTCAACGAAAGAAGAATTCACCAAGGTAATGTACTCGGAAAAATACCACTGCAATTGTAAAATTAGAAGATTTTCTAGGACCACGCTGTATGTAGTTTCATTCAGGCCTGTAATGTTTTGAGAAGAAAAACTTTAAAAAAATGGAAATATAGATGGATAAAACAAAAAAATACAACTGCAGTCCACATAGACTGCACGGTCCCACATGGCCGAAAAAGTGCAGTCCACATGTGGACTGCATGGTCGTCAATGGGTTAAATTACGGTGAGGTCAGGAAGGAGTTTGGTTGCTTATGGTACGCAGAGGTTTCGATCGTGAGTGGTGGCCTCTGAGACCAAGGCACCCTTGTATTGATCGAGTCCAGAGGGTCTACTAGTTTAGAGGACTGTTTTGAGTGTTGTCTAGACTTACGTGGGATCAATCTCAATTCGTTTTTCGGCTTTCAGGCTCTGAAGAAGGCGAAGAAGCCAAAACATAAGCTGGATAATGTTGTGAATCTCGGAAAGGCTTAAAACGGCAACAAGAAACAACGAAACTTCTTCGCCTGCGGAGTCCGCTGCCTAGCAAATGGGAAGCAGTGCTTGACGTAGATGGTGGATATGTTTCAAAGTAATTACTTGAACATCTCTTTGCTCAATATTTCTGTCGTTTCTTTGAATTGAATTTGCTGAGAAGAATCCGCAATAATTATGCATCAATCTAATACTTCATGAGGAAAAATTGAATTGAAATCAGTAACTCTAATAAGCTCGAACTAGAAAGAAAAAGCTAACTCTTGGTGACAACTGCTCTCAGTGGCGTTGGAAAAGGGCGGACGTGGTGTAGTGGTAACTGGGCGCACTATCTCACACGCATGGTCATGGGTTCCAATCCCGGATCGATATCCTATATCGATATGTAGATAAAAGCGCTGATTTGTACATCGGATGACCACCACGAGTCATTGTAAAGTACGCATAAGAATCATTAAACCACTACGATTCTGAATGGAAGTCGAGTACGGGGATGCATCTCTCAGGTGGGATTGATCAACGCCAGAAGTATAAAAGTCGGATATTCGTGAGCGTCTGTCGTAACAGAAACAGCATTTGCAAATACTTTTTGCAGCCACTAGCCTGAACAGTTTGGAAGTTCTCCTACTAGTAACCATTGTGTTGCCCTGGCTTCTCATATCTATAATAGACTAGACCGTATGGGACAGTTTTTATGGGACAGTTCTCTTTAGCACTGACATACACTTTTGTGGAGTAAAGAGTAGTGTTCTAAGTTCGGAGAGCCTCATACCTTCTATTTTGGCCAGCTTACCTTGATGGACTCCACCTATTCACCGAAATCGTCCGTCCGTACAGCAGGCCGGGCTGTATTTGAAAAATTCCGTGATGTACTTGCAGTTGATCGTTTAAACACTCTGATCAAGCACAGTGCTCGATATCAAATCACATGACCGTGGGTCTAACGAAAATGCACTTTGGGTGAGTAGAGGGCTATAGAACGTGTGACATTTGAGTTCTGATTTGCAGTTGACTTATGGACATTTCGGATGACTATCGGTCTGTCTTTTAAGTGTAAAGACCGCTGCGATGATTCACTCGACCAACGATGGCGCAGATTTAAAGAAACGCGATGCTGGCCATGGGTAGGGTCATCGTCCTCGCTGAGGAGCTTATCATTTCCAGAAATCGAAAACATGAAGCCGAGGGTCTCTGAATGTGAAAGTACATTTAATGATGGGATTTAAGGCACGGCACTCATCTGATCTTTTAAAAAAACGATTCTTTACGTTCCTCATATGAATAATAACCCATTTTGAGCCATCCTGAGTTTATTTTTGAATTTAAACGAGCGTGTGGAGCGTGCGAGGGAGGTTTTTTTGGCTGAACTAATTGTGTCGAGTAATAGTGGTATCAATATTATGCGGGAAAGTGTACTCGAAAAAGTGAAGTCGAACTGTAAACAATGTTTGGCTTGAATCAATAAAATAAATATTGGTTGGTGACATGAATCCCTATTTATATTTTTAGGGTTTTTCCGATAAATGGGTGACTTCGTTTATGGTGTGTAGCGCAGCAAATATTGTAGCTGGAATAATTTTCTTAATATTTGGATCTGGTCAGTTTTGCTTTTTATTTGTAAATACCCCATCGACAGGAATAGAATTGATGTTTTTTTTTTCAGCAAAAGTTCAAGAATGGGCAAAGATTCAACCATCCAAGTCGTCACCTTAAGGTTGAGGGAATATTATTCCTTATTCATTCTTTCTTCGTTGAAGAAACTTGAAGCTAATGTTATTATATGAATTTAATGAATACGTTTTCATTTGTAGTAATCTCTTCCAAGTGTAATTCAAATCAATTCCTCCCCATCTTCACTGTGCTTTCCGTTTGAGCGGCAGCGCTCATCTGGAAGCAGTGGCGTATGGCCTGCTGGTACCAAGTAGTCAAATTTGCTTGATACTTACTGATGAGAATGAAAGAAAGTAAAGAAAGACTGCTAAAATGTGACTTTCTCAGGTTGCTAAAGGATAGCAGTATTCTAAAAGTGATATGGAAGTAGGCGCTATCAAAGATGACATTGAGAGTAGCGTTTCTTTATGTTTACTACCAATGAAATCAAATTAACTAATAAAAACGCTTAAATACTATCAGGAGTAAATAGTTGACAATGTACAAAAATATAGATGTATAATTAAGAGTATACAAATAGCTAAATGTTGTTTCTGGAATTGTATTTCTCGGTGAATAAAAATCATAGAACAAAAAGCGCTCTGAAAACTGTACTTATTAAATTTTCATGACTTTACTCAATTGATGTACCACTAAGAAAAATACACTAATAGTATTGATAATAATATGTTATGTTGTACACAATTCATTTTCCGAGAATAGCCAAATTATTTTTTATACTTGGGTCGCACTTCTCGTTCAGCCATAAATCCATGTCGATCTCCTGAAAATTGGATCAAAATTTTCAGAGTGAGTAGCGCAAACAGAAGTAGATTGTAAAATGTGAAGGCTCCAAATTAGGAAAATTAATGAGGTAGAATCTTCATATCACTGAGTAGCTTTTTAAAAATGGGATTTAACAGTGTAGGTTTTCAGATGTTTACTTCATATGAAAAAATGTGACTCATTCTCTTGTGCTTCGGGGCAAGATCGGAAGCTATTCATGAAACCCGAAGACCTAGACAGCTAGCTATTCTTTTCCTCATACGTCATTGTTCACAAATGGATCAGTATAATTACTTTTGATTGGAGGCGTAGCTTCTCCATGAACCTCGAAAATCTTGCTTGAAAAATCAAGAAAACGTTCGATCTCCGTCGAAATATGCCGCAAACCGGGATTTTGACTATGAAATCGCTTTTGTTTTTGGTATTAGGCATACAATTTGCAAGCTATAGAAACGATCTATTTGTGAAGTATAGGCATGTCATTCACTGACACTAGGGATTAACTGAGAGCTATTTTTTTCACTTTGAAAAGCCGCTCCCGTTTGAGATTGGCGCATGACCAAACTTGTCCTTTTGGAAATAGGCATCAACATGATCAGTAAAACATGAGGAACGCAAAGGTCTACTTCTTGTTCGGTTTTGGAACGATGGCCGCTCTACAATCCCCTGAATACTTTCAATAGGAGGAAATGCGTTCTGTTTATAATTATAGCGAGCGTTGTTGATAAAGACGTGCCCCCAGAAACTGTGATAGACCGAGGTCTTCAAATTTCAACTTTTCAATTTTCTGTACACAATTCTATAGAGCTTGTCGAGCTGAGTTGAACTGTGTAGCATTATATGTGAAGAAAAAGTGAAAACTAATCTATTTATTAAAAAAAAAAGACGAAAAAGACGCGAATCCGCGTCCTTTCGTCTTTTTTCGAATAATTAGGGTGAGGATTGTATTTGCTCACAATCGGACCCGAGTCAACTTCAGAGCAGATCGGTTTTGAGAAATCAAATGCAAACAGACTTCTTTTGTGAGAAGACTCATCTGTCCATGATGCAGAAGTGGAGCGCAGAGCCCACATGTGGGATCCGTGGAGCAAATCCCGTCTGAATGTCCATTCAAACCCAACAGGCTTACCGGAATCCGTGGATTGGTTACTGGGGGACAGACCCCTTTTAGGTAACAAAAGCAGCGATTTGAATATTGGCGGACCTATGTAGGGAATCTTCAAGCGATTGTCTGGGAACATCTGGTTCGAATATGACAATACTGACCGAATATTGCAGAACTTGTATCTCAGGCGATGTTCATACTCTTACTATGTAGCACACATCTGACTTTGCTATATGGGATAAAGAAAGTTGAAACAGAAGGGCTAGGGGGGATGGTGTCGGACACCGCAATTAATCGAAGGATACTTATTTGTGGCTGGGGCTGAGGTGGTGTAGTGACAAGTGTCGTACTATCACACTAGCATAGTCCGTGGATCGAATCCCGTATCGATACCCGCCCAGGAGAACAACCTTTCATTCATCTGGAGTCGGTAAGTAGGCATTAGACTTCTCTAGGAGGATACAAGCACTGAGCACTGTTCAGCGGGATCACCAGTAAGTAGTCTTTGTACAGAATATACACGCAGTGAAGGTGTCAATATGAATGAGAGTTGAGAGTTGAACGATTCGTTTCGCTAAAACCCTTTTAGGAATTTGAGACTATTTGTGGCTCCTATGCAATCTCACAAATCCCAGACTCCTCGACATACGGTAAGACTAAAGATTGAGGTGTTTATTAAAGGGCTCTGAACAGAAAATTACCTTTTCAATATTGTCGAACATTGCTAGCAACACCTCGATATAGCGCTTTTTTGCCTCCTCCTTCGAAAGCCCTTCCACAGCTTTCCAAGCATCCCTATTATGGGAACTTATTGGCTACGAGAGTATGAAGAACCCTATTACATCATTAAAGGCACAGTTCACGATAATTTTGTGGTATCTATTTTAAGTGAAGTAATGGAAGCCATGGTGCACACTAGTGCGAGAATGGAGAGGAATGCGCGAGATTTATTGGATTTAGAAAAATATAATATACTCTAAAAAAGTAGCAAGAAAGGGGATTGAACGAAATGGCCGTCTGGGTGTCTCTCATTTAAGTAGTTCTATTTGTCTCTTCATGTGAATGGTGCAGTTAAGACGAGGCCGGCATAAAACGGCCATTTTTAGTGTCTGCGTCGGCCGAACCGGTTCTCGAGCCCTTATTGCGCCCTGTCTAGGCCGTTTTTCGGCCCAACAACGGCTCATATGCTGATATTGATGGCCACAGATTCATTCTAGCGGAAAATTTCAGCATCCATTCTATCGTGAACTGCGCCTTTAAAGGTGATAAGAAAATGTAGTACAAAACATACCATTTCTTTCTCTCAACTATGCTGAATATGCCAGGTCGTTCTGTGTTCACATCCCCAATGGTCGATTGCTTGAAAAGTGAGTAGAATTCAAGTTTTTGACTATTCGACGTGCTCACTGGCCCTATAAAATCAAAAATTCCGTTGTATTAGCCTTGTACTGTACTTTGTCCACTGTTACACTGTCATAAGAAATGATTGTATTTTACCTTCTTTAGGGAGGTTTTGAATTATCGCCACTGCTGCGTTGAAGCGTTCATCAAGGGACATCTGCAATAAGAGTATATTACCAAAAATTGAATTGAGAACCTTTTTATCACGAATACTGAAATGAAAGAACGACGTAGACCCATGGATACCGTCGCGATTCTCGACACCATTTTCGAACGGTTTGCACAGCTGCTAATCCTGCCAGCGCATTCCCTATCGCTCACCGACCTGCTGGTCTTGGGGTCCCCTGAACCGGGAGGTAATATCGTTACCATTCTTATTCTTTCTTATTATGCGACAGTGTAGCCCACTGACACCTGGCCACTATGGGGAAAGGAAACAAGTTATTCACTTAGTTCTGAGTTTCCTCCAAGGGTAACAGCCTCAGTCAACATTTATCCATGGGTTGCTCTAAAACTATTTGCACAAATCCAAAAGTGCAATGAAAGCCATTATTCGTTTACTTGAAATAGTTCCACTCGAAGGATTTTGCATTCGAATTTAGCGGCGAACATGACCTACTTTATTACATAATCCCACTTGAGTCAACGGTAGGCTCAATAACGCTGACAGGCATACCGGGGACTGGTTGTGTCAACTTTAGTTGTCAAGTGTTGAGGGCAGGAATGCTGGAAGAGAACACCCCTCAATTACTCCACCACGCTGGTATTCCTTAATGCCCCTTCTCCTCCAGCATAATTCCTGCGCTAAAATGCTCATATCGGTTTCGTTGACCAAATACATATTGAAAGCAGTACCAGAAGTCGTGTTCTTCTGAGCGCGCGGGAGAAACCAATAAACTCAGAAGCTCGCACCTACAATCGATGAAACGATCTCGGCCTGGATTAACTGGTGTTCGACGTTACAAGTAGGATATAGATGTAGCAGACTAGTTTTCGATTCTCGTATTTCTTTAATCTAGTTAACATATGATAGAATAAGTCTAGACAAAATAAGCAAAATCATGTTGCTTTCAAGAACCACGAAGGTCACGGTTTACTTTTACTTTTTTTCTTTTGGAGCGTTATTGTTGTTTCTAGCGAAAGAGGACGAGCAGCTTTTGCCTAATTTCTTTCCTTTCAAGTGAAAGACATAGCTTAATGATACTTCGATCATAGTTGGAAAGAAGAGCTACAGCACAGTGGAAAAAGCTGGGTTACAGTCTCTCAGTCTTTTTTCAAAGAGCTGTCAAAATAGTAAGTGCCCGTGCTTAACTTCGCGTTCTTGCGTAAGCCAAAGTGGATAAGTACATTGAATAACTCATGTGGAAGATTATCGAAGGGAGTAAATTTATATTTCGCAGTGATACAGTGCTTCGGTGTACTTTCACCACGGCATCCTCCTCGAGCGGTTTCGGTTCACCCCGATACGGCCTGCAAACGGCGGATCATCCAATTTATGTATATCAGTCGGCCGTCTCGTTCCTTTCCATCAAAATTCTCATACCCCAGATTTTCGAGCCATCATATGACCACTACACAGGTGACAAAAGCTTATATAAGACGAATGATATAAGCTGAGAACTTGGCAAAAAATGAACCCAACTGGATGATGGTTATAATATCAGCCTTTCACTCCATATTCTGGGCCGTATAAAACTGAAAATTCCAAAACGATAGCGAACATTGTCAAGAACTTCCGGTTGCACTTTGATGGAACCCCCTAAGTCATGTGTTAAACGACAAATTCGTAAAAATCTCCTCCAAAAAAAAAGGTACAATTTGTGCACTTTCGTAATCAATCAATGGAAGCAACAGCGAGCGTAAGAAAAACGAAAAAAAGGTGATAAATCGTAGAAACCAGTGAAGAAACGAAGGGTTAAATGCACTGCAGCCGTTTGTCAGGAGAGAGAAAAGGTCGCGGAATTGGAATCGTTGAATGAGAAGGTGACCCAGATTCAGCGTTCGCACGCGAACATGTGAGTAGTCTGACCGCAACATTTCTTTGCCTCTCAGCAATGGGGCCATTTTAGCATTTGTTGAAGTAAATCCATTAGACTGACATACAACGAGTCGGAACAAGTACGTACTCAATCAGTGAGAGGGCGTTATCAAGGTCGATGATTCACCTGATAAGTGTCGACCACCTTTTTAATAAGTCAGATGGCCACCACGAGGAAGTAACCAAAAGAGATGATACCGATGAAATAGAAGCACCTGACATCTGGAACTTGTCGTAAGCTTTGAAAACGTTCTTCAAAAGTTCAGACGGCGAACCAAAATTCACAAATCTTCACTCTCTTCATCTTCCTCTTTACTAAGAGCGCAGTTCATCACCTTTTTTTTGTTGCCTCTTTTCTTGTCTTGTAGGCTCTTTCCAAAGTTCGGCAATTATTTTATGATTTTTTTGAGCGGGTTGAATTTTGTCATGTGCGAAGTGTCCATGCATTGAATAAGTAAATAATAAATAGGTGGTTTAATAGTGTTTAATAGTACAAATAATAAATAGGTTACATATAATGGTTTAATTACCCAAATTTGAGACATGTCACTCGGATCTGAGGTATATCAGAGCATCACTCGTCGATTCTCGACTCTTTTCCTTCGCATCCGTCGGTGCCTCTGACGTAAACTACACGTTCGACACTATCACCGACACAATATGGGACAGGGTGAACGCTGGAAAGCAGTGGAAGGATATCAAAGCACAGCTCCAGAATCAGCCGTAATGAGCGACCTGTAGCAACAAAATATTTCGTTGTTTCAACATAAATATAGGTCTTGCACAGGCAATATCACGAAAGTAGCCGTTCACAAGATGATGCTCGGAAGTGAAGATTGAAATAATTAAAAGCTGGTCGTAAAGTTATTACTAAAGCATTATCGTGTCACAGTAAGAGGTGAGTCGTCTGTAACTACTTGGCAGTTATTGTAGGTGCTATTTAGTGACAACTAACAAAAAGAAGCATGAATGAGATTACTTAAAAACTTACCTGTGCTAAGGGTTTCGACCCTGTGAACTCAGTGTTGTTGAGCTTTCCATTCTCCACTGCGATATTATTAAAGTAACCTGATCAAAGACAGCAAATGGCTTAATTAGACGCGGTATAAGTAATGAATGTTGAATTAGGGGATAGGCATGTTAGGTATGGGTTGCGTATGGGACAAACCTGTTATGAGCGCAAAAAGCTGGGAGAAACCATGGCCTAACGACTGAGGAAAGGACTTGCTGAGGTGACTCCGCAAACTGTGCTGCATACCGTATAAAACACTTTTCCGCTTTGTCAGATTTTCAGCACGCCTGTGGGACTGCCCCTCCACAAATTAGTACTAGTGATGAGGAGCAAACACGAAAAACTGGTTGCTATCAAATCAGGGTGGTTAACTAGCTACGAAGTCGTTCTATTGCAGTGTCACCATGTAATGGAACTTCCCCACTACCAAGTACATTTTCTATTGTGTAAAGCTCTAAGATTACAATTGTGACAACCTCGCAGTGTTTGCTTCAAGACTGTTCTCGACCAGAGCACACATGGAGCTGCCAGATACTTTGGCAGGTGTGCTAGGAAAGATAGGCAATCGCCGACTCTATAACATAACTAAGGAACAAGATGCTGCATTTATTCCAATTACTTTCTTCTATACCAGTATATGAGACTCCCAATCAGAGCATCAGCAATTATCAGCAGGTACGAGTGCAGTTTATGTAGGAGATGCAGAAGAGGGTACCTACATTAGTGGTCAGAAGTCTTCGGTGAAACGCTTTTCCAATCGTAACTTTTTCGATTCAAGGAAAAATTTTGTTATTTCAAACCTCACCTTGAACCAAACCAGTTGATACTTTTTGGTTGGAAAGGGGGAGGTCATGTGGCAGAGGTCCTACTACAGAAGCGATTTACCTGAACGCGAGGTTTATTTATTATATGAAGTTATCATAAGTTTCTGTTCTCCCTTATCCTACTGAAGAGCATGGAGGGAGAGTATTTCAAAGTTCGACTTCTGTCTAGGGCACGTGCGAAACGGAAGTTGGAGGTAACGGAAGTTAAACCACTGCTTCGATTTGTTACCCTCTTATAATTTTGATAATTTGTCATGATATTATCGTTCGTAATAATTTATTAGCTATAATTGCATTGTCTGCATCCCACTTGTGCTCGATGTTAGTACTTGTACACTCAAGACAAGCATAGAAGGACGTTAGTCACTCAGAGGTTTCGGCCTGCAGCAGTAGACATGATGCAATCGGACATAAAAGTCACGGTCATTTGAAGAATTTTGAAGGATCTACAGCAGACGTTTTTTTCGATCATCCCATGTTAGCAGGTCAGAAACCTTGTTTGCAATGCTCAGAAAAGGGAGGACTACGATGACCTTATCAGCCCAGGACAGACGGATCGAACTTCGGTCGAAGGCTGACCTTCGCCTTACTGCGGCTGACACTGCCGCTGAGTTCATTGCTAGCGATGGCGCCATTTCTAGTCGGCAGAGCGCAGGAAGACTCCTGAATAGTGCCGGTATTCATGGGAGGCGTCAGACCAAAAAGCCGTTTATCAGTCCAAAAAGTAGGACAGCTAGAGCGGAGTTTGCGCGCTGTCATCTCAACTGGACGTCGATTGACTGTAGTAGAGTTCCTTTTACAGATCGGAATAAGTTCAACTCGTTTGAAAGCGATGGTATACGCTGCAGACGACGTCCATTCAAGGGAAGATTTAATGCAAAGACACCCCACTCACAACCAAGCATGGTGGCGGAAATGTGATGGTATACGGTGCCTTCTCCTCGAACGGAATGGGCACAATTTTGAGAGCGGCATGATGACAGGGAAGTAGTACAAGAAAATGAAGGTCGACATCGTCTTGCCGTGGGCACAACATCATATGATAGCAGCATAGAGAATAACGATTCGAAACACACCTCAATGATTGTGAATTCGGCCTTCAGCGACCAGCGAACCATACTTCTGGAGAAGTCAAGCCAGTCATTGGATTTGAAACCTACAGAGCATGGGGAGAGGTTTAAAGGCGTTATTCGAGCAAACTCTGTGAAACGAAGGAGGGGTCATGCCACTGTCTACTATTCAAAAACTAATCGACTCGATGCCTTCCCATACCGATGTTGTCATCAAAAAACGAGGCTTCCCACCAAACATCGATGTTTCTAATGTTTTACATGTTGCTATTGCAAAGTAATGCGGTTTTTAATAGGTCGATGCTATCCGTACACGACGTGCCTTTGATTAACATAATGAAATTCCATATGATTTTATGAAGTAGGAAGATAGCTACAATCGGGGAAGCGTTTCACCGAAGACTTTCGGCCGCTCCTGTAGGTGGTAAGGGTACGGTTACTGCAGTGGAACCAGGCTGAAAACGCAGTATTCTGCATGGCTTCGTAGATGACAATACCCCTAATTTACCAGAGCGGACTGATATGGGTAAAAACCAATTCCAGATGTAGCGAACTTTCATAGCACATCTTCAGTCCTTTCAGATTTTGTTAGGAAAAGGCTGCATGGAAGGGAAATTCAGAGGAAGTGTTCGAACGCGCACGCCATTGCTACAGCTAGCTGCACCACGCCGCTCGCGTGCAAGGTGCGGGTCCCAGTGCGAGTGGTGCAACATCTACAGCTTTTACGACGCTTAACAAATCGTCTGCGTTAGGTGTGTCCGTCAGCCAAGTCGGGCCCTTGTTACACCATATCTAAGATGTTTTCCGACCCCGTAGCGTACCTAAAAGCGCAGTTCGCCTTCAAAACGGTTTCTGAGGTTTTTCCCGAGGACGATCCCGTAGACTCAGGAAAGCAAAGCAGACGGGCTGAAACAGTCAAGATAGGAAGTAAAAAGGGCCTCAGATTGGCTCAGCCGACGAGCACTTCCTAGGCGGACAGGAAGTAAAGCGTTCTGGAAGTTGTACTAGGTTGTCGGAAAAGTATTTGCGCATTTTGGTTTCCATGTTGTGGAATCTTTGGGGATTGCTCTAGAGCCTTCACTGTGGAATATGTGTAAGTGCAGGTCAATGCGCTCTCCACACCGTATCTGCCGTGGCATTTCGCAACGGTTATGGCTGCAAGAATCGCTCTCGACTCAAAGCTAGTCAGACTATCTTTTCTTCATAAGTTCAGAAAAAAACGTTCATCCAAATTGAGCGACAGGGGGAAGATGCGATGCGATAGGACCATTCATTGTCTCTAATAGCACATCAAGTAGTTGGTACAAGAAGTTCAGAAATGGCCACCTTGACTGGACCGAAGAACCACGATCTAGGAGACTAGCTAAGCTCAATGATGACTATCTCCTGAAGCTGGTTGAAGAGTATTCCAGGTTTAGTACCCCATCACGACACAGCAGCTGTCCATTTGCATCGCCTCGGAAAGACATGGAGATTCGGAGATATGGACAAGTTGTGGTCTGTTTGACCACCACCTCCAAATGAAGAGGGATTCATGCCTGAACTTGATGACTTTCCGACGCACCTTCGCATGGCTGGAAGACTTAATCACTGGCGACGAGAAGTGTGTTCCCTACTTAAACCACACGAGGAAGCGCCAGTGGCTTAGATACGTAGAGCATGGAATCCCGACCTCCAATCCAGAATTCCTACCTCGGAGGCAATGCCAAGCGTTTGAAGCCATTCAACAGGATCGTTCAGTGGGACCTTCTACCACCAAACTCCGCTGTCAGCACTGAAGCCCATTGTGCTCTGTGGACCGGATTGCTGCAGCTCTAGGTGAGAAACTGAGGAAAGTCTATTTTCTCCACAACAGTGCTCGCCCACACTTTTCGAAGGAGGCTCAGAAAAAGCTTCAAAGCTTGGGATGGCATGTTCTGGCCCACCCACCGTATTCAACAGACCTGGCTCCAACGGATTATCATCTGCTCCCGTCGCTGTCGAACCATCCGAAAAATAAGAAGTTTGATTATGTGAACTAACTCGAGACGTACATTGACGAAGTTTTCCTCCTCGAAACCTCAGGAATTCTACGCAAGCAGGAACCACAAGTTGCCTGATGAATGGCAATACCTTGCCGATAATGATAGTGCATATATTTGTTAATTGTTAGTTATTGTGAAGGAAAAAAATTCAAAAAAAAAATTGCAAAAGGCGCAAATACTTTCCCGACAACCTAATAGTAGTAACAACATTCCGGGACCCACATCTTGCACGCAGACAGCGTATTGCAACTAGGTGTACGCCATGAAGCGCTCGTTTCGATTTTCTCATTCTCTTCACCGCTTTTGCACTATTTTAAACCATCCCTTCCATTACTCCTCCTGAACTAGATAATCCAAATTGTCGTTAACCGTGCCCTCATGTTATCCTTAGGCGTAAAAGGTTCTTCCTGAGCAGAAATCTCAGGAACCTTCCTAACGTGAACTGTGCCTTTGATAGACTTCGATTACCTGTATTGCATTGATCTTCAAAAACAAAATCAAATATTCGGACAGTACGTACATCGCGTGAAGCACTCTTCCTTTTTTCGAAGGCCTACAAAATAAAGTTCGAGTTTTATACAAGTTTTCACGACTGTAAGAGAATGGTTAAATGTTTACTTACAATTAGATAGCTTAACGATTGGGAATATGTCGCAAACTGACCAGAAAACAAGAAATCTCTCTTCTCTACTGTATGGGAGACCTTCTCCGTTCCACTGCATGCCTTAGTACTAAATCTAAGCCAAACTAATTTCCTGTACAGCTCTCAAGGAAATTTGTAATATCTTATCCAACCCATGTACTTTTTACAACTTGTGATAGTGATTGAGAAGCAGGCGACTGTGTAGGTCATATCAATTCGAACGTTTACACAACAATTCACTATTATAAGCCCACTTTAAAACTTATTCAAAGCCCGGATAACACGATCTTTCCGAGAAGAAAGTCCGAGAAGAAAAATTTGTTGATTAAAGATAGGATTCTCGATATCAGCACCAACTTTCAATAACGGGCAAACTACTTTTCCCAGACATTTTTCAGAAACACTCTCTTGTCCGAACTATGATGAGCTTGTCACCTGAGCACAACTGGACACATAAGTATGCAAAACAATGGGGAGACGAGCAGTAGTCGATTCGCCGCACGCGGCTATCGTGGACCGCTCGTTCGCCGTTATTGCAGCGCTAGCGTTCTTCATACAGCTCCATCGATATGCGGTCCTTATTTTAGTCATGATTCTAGTGTTAGTTCCTTTGTTCCTGTATGTCTCACCTGCTGCTTCATTCTGCTACATTCCTTCGCGCGCGGCGTCCCTCGCAGCGACGCGACAATTTCGTTCCTACTGCACCACACCCCAGAACAATGCAGTAATAATACTATTGAATCTCTAGTGATTCCACAAACTATAAGTATTTCTTAAATAAATTACCATCGTTTCCTACACCTACCCCCAATCTGTATAGACTCCATCCAAGCAAGAGCGTGACATATCACAACCAATCATGGATGATCCATAAAACGTGGATCTACCAGGCAATTTTAAATTTTTTAAAATTTTTTCAAGAAATGATTATTATAACTAGCTTAAGCTAATCACAATTCAAACCGATCCTTATGACATGATCAGTTCTGATCCCATATCCCATAGAATCTTCATTCTACAACCGCTACAGTGAAATATAATAGTAACGTATTTAGTTGAATGGAGTATCTTGCTCCCGTCAACGGATATTTTCACGTCACACTGAATCGTTTAATCGAAACTTTGCATGCAAAAAAACAATACGGCGTGCTACACTCCATAACTATATACAATAGAACAATTTGCAAAAAATATAATAATAAACAAATAGAATTTCACGACATATATGTATGGATGAAACGAGCCGAGAGAAATGACTTGATGCATTGATCACATTCCAATCACAATTCGATAGTTATCAATGTATTGACGACGCGAAAGCAAAATGTTTCCTACACGAGATAAACATCATATGCCTCTTAGGTTCTAGAGTAGTTGTAATGTTATAAAAGTAGTAGTAGTAGTAGTAGTAGTAATGTAATAATAGTAGTAGTAGTTCGATTAAACGGATAAAAGTTGCAATGAAAAACACTATAACACAAATGACAAATGATCACCTATAGTTGTAGAACTACTACAGTATACCAATAACACTTCAAATATCTGTATAATACAAAAAACAACAATTGTAATCGAACAAATACGCTGAATTGAGAAGAGAGACAACAACGATAATAGTCTGTGCATAGGAGTGAGATGTACGCCAACTGTATTCCAGAATTTCGATATTCACAGTTTTACTTTACACCCCCAGGGAATCCGTAAATCTCTCGAAACTCGGGTGATCCGTTATTTAATTCCGGTTTTACACCACTCAACATTCCCTCCCACGCATTTTTCACTTTTCCTCGAAGAATTTAAATGAATGAATGGGAATAGTGCACAAAAAAAGATGATGGGGATGACCATGACGATGATGGAAATATAAAATCATCGAAACTAAAAAATTCAATAATACCTGCATAACAACCGATTCTTGCGATTCAAAATGGAACACGAGACTAGACTGAGATAAATGAATGGATACCAATAAGCCTGATGTCATAACTTCCGCTTTGGGTGGAAACAATCGAATGAACTTTCATCAGATAGAAATTAGCGATTAGAGTGTTCCTATAAATCGCGCACCCTGCTCGTCAATGACGACCCTTTTGTAGTGACCCCGCTGCTTATCTCCAAATGACATAACTCCCGAAATTCAAGAGCTATCGTGTATGTCATAGGTAACTTCAAGAAATGAAAGTAACCTCTATCCACTTAAGAGTAACACATGCACATTCGCAAACCAAATTACTTTCAGAAAGTAGGAAGAGGTAGAATGATCTGCATATTGAGTCAGTAACCCCCATATCCAGAACAACGTTCAAAACTCGTGGAATCTCCCAGATAATACCAAGACTGGAGTGTCCTTTTACAGCAAGTTTCAGTATAAGTAATTAGCATTTATCACAAGAGTGGATCGAAATCTTTGGAAGTAGAACTCCTTGAATCACTGGTAGGATCAAACAAGTAGAGAAAGCTTCTCGAAATTCACTGAATCAAATGTGAATGACAAGCGCTGATGAAACTAAACGGTTCCCATCGTCAGATTCTGGAACTGTCTGCCAACTGTTTGCCAATGAAGTTCACTAGTTGTTAAACCCTGTTCGGCTGTCAGATTCGGCCAGTATCCTTTATGAATTGCAATAACCTAGAAGGGGAAAAATTGGTTGTGATCGTATACGTATATTAAAGGAATCTTAAAACTAAAGATGGAAACTAAAAATGCATTGAAAATCTAACATACCTTCTGTATAGTTTCTTGAGCACTGAGACACGGTATACCCTCGAGCGCCTCACTATTCAACAAACCCGCTTTATCGTCATCTCCACAAAGTACCTGGAAAGACAGTCACTGATAAACCCCTTCACCACTAAATCGGGAAGTCGTGTAGCGGCAAGGGCGCCCCAGCTCACACGCATTGTCACGGGTTCGATATCCGCATGGGCCAACCAAGCTTTCCATCCCTCCGGGGTCGATTGATTGGTACCAGACTCGCCCGGGAGGATTAAGGGACTGACTTGAACATCCGCTGGTTGGCGGAATACATGGCTTTATCCTTTCACCAAAGAATCATTAAAAACTTCAAAGAGACAGTCGAATCCTTCATTAAGTACGGAACCAAACTCAAGCGTAGGAATGTAAAATGAGACTGTGACCTCTACTTCATTTCCTATTATGCATTACCCCCTCCAGCTTTTTTACGATTTCGTACAAACATAGATTAGCAGGTTTCTTGATTTCTTTTTTTTCCTTTTCACTTTTTCACCATATTCTACGACATCACTTTTCATTTCTTCCCCAGTCTGCTCAACACCTTTTTCGTTTTGACATCAAATTTCCAGACTCTAACTAATTTGCTATGGCCATTGAAGAAAGGCTCCGAAGTACAAGCACTAGGACTCAGGAGAAGAACATCCAATCTAGTCTAATCTCTAAGGAAATCAAAAAAAAATGATTGTAGAACCACTTCACTCCAGTTGACTAACCTTAACGCACTGTTCTGCAGCATCGGAAATGCTTGCGAGATCGTATCCTCCTTCGAGGGCCAATACAACTCGCCCGCCGGCGAATCCCATTAACTGACGTGTCATAAAACCAAACATTTCTGCAGAAATTTTATACCTGAAATGTATAAGTAAGGCTGTGTTTGTGATTATTTAACAATCAGCGATCAGAGTCTAAGTTGCAAACTTAGTACTCACCCGCCAAGAGCGTTCGGATGCCCGCAACACGCATCGAACCCGGCTGAGACCAGAATGAAATTAGGCTGGAATTGTTCCAGAATTGGATGCACTACTACTCGCCATGCTGCTAGATAGTCAGCATCTCTCATAACGCCTCCAGAAAACGGTACATTCACTGAGTAACCCTAGAAAACATGTGCATAAGGTTGAGAAACTGGTTTCTAGCATATACCTACAGAGGATACAAATTACTAGTTCATTGCTGAGGATAAAAAAGCATCGGAAATTGTCACGCACCTTGCCAGCTCCTCGACCGACTTCCGTAACGGCTCCTGTGCCAGGGAAGAAATTGCCGTTGTCGTGACGGTGAAGAGATAGATACAAGACACTTGGATCCTCTTCAAAACATAATTGGGTCCCGTTACCATGGTGAACGTCCTGAAGTCATAACCGTAAATAGAATAACTGACAAAAGTTTTGATCAATTACTTGGCCTTGAGCCATCATGGTCATCCCAAATCGAAGTGGCCGTTTGAAATGAGACCTATACTGCTAGACGTATTTTCGGAATGTGTTTATGGTTCCATGCCCATTTAGGAACACTAGGTCTAGGAAACCGTTTTTCGAAGTTTTGAATGATGAGCGAAGGACGGACAGCGATAATCTTCAAATTCCAAGGCTCTGAAGAAGGCGATAAAGCCGTAACGTACGTCGATAAGGTTGTTTATCACCTCAGTAGCAAGTTTTATAAAAAAAAAAGTCTCACAATATTAATTCAAAGCCATGCCAAGATTCATTACAGTCGAAGTTGGATTGTATTTAGACCCTCCAGCCGAGGCATTCGTCACCTTAGGCAAGCCTAGTACCAACCAACCTGACTAGAAGATAGGAAATCGCAACTGTCTCTGATAAAGCCCGATCTAGCTTACGCAACATCTGAAGCGTCCAACAGCTCCGCGACTTCCAATCCCACCAAGATAGAATATGAAAGAATCCAAAAAATGCCTACCCAATCAATGATGGCAATCCGAGAGCATTGTCGAGGATATTTCTGTTGAAGATAACGGGCAGTGATAGCCACATTATTGAAGAAGCAGAATCCCATCGCCTACAAAAATAGTCCGATACAAGATGAACAAGAATCAACCGAAAAAAAGGCTCGAAATTCATCTCGAAGAGGAAGTACATACATACCTGATCCCGTTCAGAGTGATGACCTGGTGGTCGAATACATGCAAAGCCATTGCGCAATCGGTTTTCTGCCACCTGAGACATCAATTAGGCATAATTAAGACTAACAGGTATTCAAAACTAATTCCTAATGCATAAATAGCAGAACATGACAGCTTAAAGTGGACCTATCCCCAAATAAAAGTAATAATCTCACCAACCTGAGACGCCAGTTCAATAAGTGAGCCAGCAGCGACACGAGCAGCCGTTTGAGTGGTGGCATCGTTAAAGTAGGTGTCTGAATCAATCCCGATTCCACCACATGGCAACTAAAATCGTTTCCATCAGATCAAAAGAAGGAAAATGCAACGATCCGAAAGCACATAAAACCCGAGCGTAATGAACCAGAGTCATCCAATTAGAGACACTGTTTTATTGGATACTTCCATAACATTTCTGATTCACTTCAAAATTCACCTTCTTCGGGAAGAAAAAACACTGACTTGTACAGCGGCTGGCCACCGCAAGTTATTCAACAGACCTTATAGGCATACAATGACCAACTATGATACTGAAAGGAAGTTGATTGCGGGGCGCATCCCACAGTTGATTAACGCCCAAAACTCTATCGTTTATCCTTTCCCATCTCCAAAAAGACTGAACTGGTCAGGAAAAATATTATTAGGCTGCAGAATTTTATAATGATTCACAAAAACTTAATCGTGAATGAATATTCATATTCCTAAGTATACCTGGACAAAGCTTTTGAGTGGTAGCTGAGAAGCTTCCATTTTAAGGCAAGCCGTCGGTGACACTGCAAAAAATGTCACATACGTTGGCGAGTGTACCATTCGTAGTTGTTCGAGAGAAGCTTTCTTTGCTGCAGTCCGCTCGCATCTGAAACCATGATCTTGTTAGCCGGACTTATGGCAGCACTTTTGTAAATGAGAAGGTAAGCTATCCGACATCTACTCATTTTCCTGGGATGCGCCATTCTTACAGCTTTACACAAGTAACGGTCATTGAACGGATATATAATAGTCCAGTATTTTGTTCTCTTATTAATTGAAGGCTCAACCGTAATCGACGTTTGAAAATAGGCCCTATGGCTTACTTAAAACTAGTACGCACTACATAAACAAAAAATAGGTAGTGCTGCAGACTTGTGACCTACAGCGGACGTCAACACCTTTATTGTTGTTCCACTATTATAGTAATGCAACCTAAAGTGATATACTAAACATTTTGTGTGAGTTTATGGTGGAATAATGGAAGGCGACTGCGGTGAAGTTACGATAATACTAGGTATCAGAAAGGACGATTTATCGAGCATTAATGGACTCCAAAGTTGACAGTGGATATTAAATAGTACCTATTCGAACCATATACTAAGAGCAGAAATATGTCGCCGACTCACTTAATCAAACTAGAAACGGCTATTTAATAGGAACTCAAACCAATTGATTGATGGTTACACAGTACCAGGCGGCATGATAAGTGTCGAAGAAAAGTTGCTATCAACCTATTTGAAAATTGGAGGGTGAATAACAATTCCGGACCGATATCCACCTCGGTCAACCGAGTCTTCCGAAACACCGAGGTCGGTTAATCAGTATCAGACTTGTACGGGAGGATACTGACTACATCGGCTGGTCACCGCCAGACATTGGTATAGGCCACATACGAATTCAATACGAAAAAGTAAAAGTAGAAGTGGTTCGAAAAAGTAGAAGTATACTTGAACACACATGGTTGATGGGTCATGAAGAACCGAACCCACCTTTGTACGAGTCCACGTTCCAGCAACCGTGCCCAAATGCTCTGCACACGTCCACCATGTTCCACATGTGAACTGCTTTCACCGCAAACGCATTCATGTCGAGCCATGCTGGAGTCATAGGCAAGTCCGGTTGCTTTACCACTTGATAGTTCACCCAATCCAAGAGTAGTCGGCATTTGTCCAAGCACTGGTTGCGTAACAAGTGAATCATCATCCTCAGGTTCTTCGCTGAAATATTACACAACAGCTCTATAAGTCCTGAACAGTCAAGCTATGTATGTCAAAATGCTGACCGAACAAGACTCTTCCTTCGCAGTACAAGTTCTCTCAGTTGTTGCTTGAGCAGTGAGGGATATCCGCCAACGGGTACCTGCTGTGATAACGCACCAAGGGCTGCTACACCAGGAGCGAGTTTGCTCCGATCGGTTATGTCATCCTCTAGAAGACCACCACCAAGGCCAAGCTGGGTCTTGAGAAGACTTGGCAGACTAAGGAATGGCGTCAACTGAGCGGCTGCCATCAACGAAGCCATATCTGTGAAAAACATGGAAATGAAAAGTGTTACTGATATGTGGTATAACAAAAACTCGAATGATTACCAATAGGTAATTGAGGAGGTTGCGCAAGAGTTGGAGCGGCAAGATTTGGCAAGCTTGGGGAGGGCATGATAAGATGAGGAGGAAACGCCGTTGCAGCAGCGTTCGACAACAAAGCGTCCATTGCCAAATTCGCACCACCCGTTGTACCACCATTACTTGATGTTTCGCTGTCACTCCTGGAAAAATACAATCATGGAATGAGCTAAACAATACAAGATTTTCGCTAACTATTCATTGCCATTCACAAGTAAAAGGAAACTTCTCACATGCTCTTACCGTTTCAGTTGGGGATGTGTGAAACTGAAGCTGCTCTGGTTTTGCACAGGGCTTGAACCTTTGCTGAGGAGCTTTGCTCGGATTCGCATCTTCAGATTAGGTTCACTGTTTACTTTTCGCAACTGATATTCTCCAGATGGCTGGCAGCTGACTGCTTGGACGCTATGAAGCGACGCTGGCACACGATATGGTTCAAAATGCGGCGACGATACATTAACCTGCAAAGAAGGGCCATATAATGGAATAAGGCTTGCACTGCTTGAAAAGATTCGCTTGTCAACATTTATTCAGTTTTCCACATTATTCCGCTATCAAAAAAGAGTTCTTGAATATGTACGAAAGTTCCTTAAAAACACTGTAGAAAAAAGGTGCAAACGAGGACCCCTTATATTGGGGAATGAGGTACCTACTGACATAATAAATGTGAGAAGACGAGTTACCTTTGCGTCAATTATTTTACATGGACATAAGATATGTATTTAATGGAAACAATAGCAAAATAACTAAATAAAAATAATAATAAGTTAGTTTGAAGTGAAGTAACTAAAGTAAATAATAGTTAAAAGCAATAAATAAATAAACTCATAAGTAATTAAATGTTTAATGTAATTGAATATGTGCCTTGAAAACATGGAAAGTTAAGTCATGTCAAAGATACCTGTGGACTCATCGGAGCATGCTGTTGCGGAGGCGTGCCGGCAAGGTTCGTCTGACTTCCCTCACGATTTCGCTGTGCAATCATATTCTTTAAACGGTCTTTAGTATGCTGAGAAATGGTCGTCGATGTTGAGTTAGTAGAAGCATTACGATGTTCGCTGAAGAAACGAAAACAATGATTATCAAAACATTCAAACGAGAAAATGGGAAAACACATGAAGTAACATGGGCTAACTCATACTATATGAAGTTATCCAGTTACCTTCGAATGCGCTGTGGAGCCGGAGCATCACGAGATGTTGTAGGTGACTGGCTTGAACCTAGTAGGCTACCCACAGATGAAGTCAATACAAGCGGTGCTACTGAAATAGAACTTTTCAAGATACTAGCATACATTTTGATTTGAAGAAGGATAAAAACCTACTAGCTGCATCACACAATCCCTCATCCATCCTTTCGGGAGCTGCCGGGGCATTAGTGGCAGCGGCTGCGGCGGCTTGCTGCTGGGCTTGTTGTTGAGCTTGCTGCTGTGCTTGTTGTTGCAAGGCTTGGTAGTACTGCTGGAGATGTTGCACATTTAGCGCCTGTTGAGCGCGTTCAAAATGTGCCATCAAGTCCATTTGCTTTTGCTTGAAGACCTTAAAATACAATTACATCAAATGCGAAGCAAAATCAATTTCATTTGAAGTCAGGAACAACATTCAGAATGATGTACAAGAAGAAGTCAGGCATCGAAAGTTCTATTGTACAAGTTGCATATGAGAGGTATCAGTGGAAAGAGCTTCAGAAGAAGTCCAATACTAATTAACTGCTACATCACACATTTTTCACAGATACCGTTTCATGGAAATTTCTAACTCGAAGTTCCGAAGCAATTAAAGACCTCTGACATCACATGTACCTCTAAACCTACAATTATGCATTCCTACTATATACATATAACACGCTAGGTGTGTCTGAATGTGTATGTGTATGTGTAAGTGTATGTGTGTGTATGTTTGACCGGAAGTTCATAACACCGGTTCCCGTAAACCTATAGAGTTCGAATTTAGTAGGAGTACAGGCGACAGGATGGAACCGCTTATGGTAGTTGGCAGGACCGGGCTCCGCCCGCAGGGGCGGGGCTTCCTCAAAAACTGTCAAGTTGGATCTAGAGCGCTAAAATTTGGTGGGAATATAGAAGGCAAGATGGGAACACCGATGGTGGGTGACTGGACTAGACTCCGTCCATACGGGTCGACGTTGACGTCCGGGACGTGAGCGAAAGTATTCAATTCGGGCCAATTGAACCTTCAATGGACCATTTTTCAAGAATTCTCTCTTAGATACGAATGAAAACGAATGGAGTGATCAGGTCTCTGAGGGAGTTCTGTCCGCTCATGATATGTACTATATTGTACTTCTTGAAAACGGATTGCTTCCAAATATGTGCGGCTACCTATTTCCGGAATATGTTCTCAAGACAATAACAACAGGAGCGAAAATAGAAGAAAATAGTGGTAAAATAAGCAGTGAATGCGACTTGACTGTCGCGGAGATATCACTTTAACCATAACAATGATGAGATAGGCATGTAGTGAGGTGCCGTCAATGCGAGGGTTTGCAGCACCTCGACTCTTCAAGCAGTGACCAGTAACAAAACTAAATGTTCACCCTCAATTAGTTCGAAACGTGATTTTATAGCGCTTTAGAAGAGAACCACATCAACATAGAGTATGTTTCACAACAAACAAAAGTTTCAACGAGCTCAGTGAATAAACTGTTGTTGCAATTACAGGTAGCAATCAACGAGTAACAAGAAATCCACGATTTATGAAATTATGTACGAGCTAACAAGGGAAGGATCCCAAGTCGAAGTGGCCATTTGAAATG